AAAAAAAAAAAAGCAAAGAAAAAAACAAAAGTGGCTGTATGACTGCACTCACAGCTTAGGTAGAGTGTTCTGCTCTGTGAGGGAGGGGCAGTCTTCTTCCCTGTGGCCCAGTCTGGGCTATGAAGGTCACATCTGGACCAGGAGGACCCAAGCATAAGGCCTTGCCCTGAGGACAACAGGTGTCTTGGAGCTACCACCTCTGATAGCACATGTAACATTCTTCCCATCATAAGAGAAGAAAATAAACATTTATCTTTTTGAGTCACTCTTACTGAAGCTGATCTAATCCTGACACTACCTCATTTTGGAGACACTCACTTTTTTTTTTGCAGTTTTTGGCCAGGGCTGAGTTTGAACCCGCCACCTCTGGCATATGGGGCCAGTGCCCTACTCCTTTGAGCCACAGGCACCCCGCTGGAGACACTTTTATACTTGCAGACAAAAACTCTTCTAGAAAGTTTTCAGTATATGAAATTATATACACATCAGTGCATGAAATATTTTAAATAGAGAAAGAACTGTCAAATGTAAAAAGGTACATAACCCTTTTACCCAGAATACCACCACCAAGGATTTATCTGAACATCAGGGATATGAGTGGAGCTCAAAGGGGCTGAGGTCTGGATACAAAGGAAGGGGCTTCAGGAGAGGGAGTGACGCAAAGCATTCAGGGAAGTGAGCAGGACCTACAGCCTCCACAAACTCTGTCCAGAAGGTGGATGTACTGATGGAAATTTTCCTGATCATGGTGGACAGCCTTGCTATACTAGTGAGGTGATGTGGATGGGAAGAACAGGGAATGGCCCAGGCACAGCAGAGGCCTAAGCAAGCAACTTTGCTATACCGAGAAGGGTAGGCTACTCAGAATGCACGCTGGCAAACACACAACACGTAAGGAATGCATGTTTCTCTGGCAAACATCCTGAAGCCCAACACCAACTCACTGGAAGATGCTTTCAGAAAAGGATAACCTTAGGTTCTATGGGACCTGGTTTCTAAGCCCAAGCACAAAGCAATAGGCTGGAACTCCCAAGATGGGGTGGGTACAACCAGGCACTGATTCCAGAGGTTCCATAGCAGCTTACTTTGGATGGACTCAAGGGCCCTGCGAAGGCTCTCAGGGTCAGCACAGGATCTCTGGGGCTGCCTCCATAGCGGCCACCAGGAGAGGACTCAGCCCCCTGGTCTGAGGACCACAGCTCCCCGATGACTGGAGAAGAAGTGTCTTCTGCTCTCAGAAGCGGCACATAGTAGTGACCTGAGGGAGGAGACAGGTGTTGGCCATCTCAGAATGTCAGGGTTGGGTAAGCAGAGTGATAAGTAACAGGCATTCACCAGGGCCTTTCCAAGTAGACAGAAGGACAGAAAATAAAACTCATAAGCTTTCCAGCCAAAGGTCAGGCCAAAGACCAGACCTCACTTAACCAATTAAGTCTCACTTTCTTCCTCCTTTGCTAAAAAAGAAAAAAGGGAGAGAACAGAAGGTAACCACTCTCTGGTTAAGGGACAGACACAAAGGCCCATCTTGATTGAACAAGATTACCATACCTTGTGAGCTTAATAAATGTTGAAAGTCAGTCATATTTTCTTTCTTTCCTCCTCCTCAGTTCCCTATAATTTGTATCACTGATTATGCATCTCTAAATAGATCTGGGGTCACATGGTACTCTGATGCGCAGTATGGAAAGCAGAGGAAAAGCAATGTCATGAAGCTGTGCCCTGCAGTCCCATGGTACAGTGTGGTGAAGTCCCACAGGGCAGTATGGGGAAGTCCCAGGAGACAGGATGGTGAAGTCACATGGGTTAGTGGTAGGCAGTCACAGGCCACCAGTCCTGTTCTCAAGCCTGGCCTTTGTAACAAATGGCCTCCTGGAGTACCAGGAGGGCACGATCAGTCATGCTGCTCAAGAATACCTGGGAATTTCTTATTTTAAAGGCTTATTACAGTTTTTATACATTTTTTCTCCTGAGTCTCAAAGTACTGTTATTTTCACCTTAAACTAAAAACTACAGTAATTAAAATACTGTATTTCACAATTTAAAATCTTGGACCACAGCTTAGTGGCTCACACCTGATTCAGCATTCTGGGAGGCTAAGGTGGGAGGATCCCTTGAGCTCAGAAGTTCAAGACCAGCCCGAGCAAGAGTGAGACTTGGTCTCTACTAAAAATAGAAAACCTAGCCAGGTAGTTGCGGCAGGTGGCTGCAGTCCAAGCTACTGAGGAGGCTGAGGCAGGAAGATTGCTTAAGCCCAGGTGTTTGAGGTTGTTGTGAGGGAGGCTGACAGTGTGGCACTTTAGCCAGGATGACAGAGCAAGACTGTCCCAAAAGAAAAAAGAAAAAAAAAAATCTTAGACTGGGATGCACCATATATATAATGGTATTTTATAGATCTGGCAAGTTACCTTCTTCTGTTGAAGGTACATATTCAACTATCCATAAAATACTAATTTTTTTCCTTTTTGAGACAGACTTGCTCTATTATGTGGGCTAGAGTACAGTGGCATGATCACAGCTCACTCCAGCCTTGAACTTCTACGCTCAAGAGACCCTCCTACCTCAGCCTCCCATGTAGCTGGGACCAGAGATGTGCACCTCTGCATCCAATTTTTGAAAACGTTTTTTATAGAGATAGGGTCTCACCCTGGCTGATCTCAAGTTCCTGGCCTGAAGTGATCCTCCCACTCTGACCTCCCAAAGTGCTAGGATTATAGGTGTGAGCCAACATGCCCAGCCACCTTACTGGTATATTCATTTGAAGTCCTTTTAAAAACTTCTATCCACAAAAACGGACTCAAGCTCTCTCAACATTTCTGTATCTGGCTCTTTTATCCTATTTAGATCTTCATAACACTTTGGGGTCCTTTCCTATCTTTATACAAATATGGATCTGACAGGAGGTAGGACTGGGCCAGGCAGGGACATAGCCAGTCGCTCAGCATGCTCTCTGGGTGTGAAGCTACAGTGTGACAGAGGCCACAACATCACCAGTAACAATGACCCACACCTAGGCCTCACACGAGACCCTCAGAAGGAACGAGGGAAGGTGCATTGGGTCTCTAAAAGGTTGGCCAACTCTTCAGAAACGTGGATATTATAGCAATATTTCCTCCTAAGAGAACAGCTAGATGAACTGATCTTAGGGATGTTAGCATTTTATTGCCACAAATAGCAAAGGCCTTGTCAGACCATTGGTACTGCTATCTAATTACTGTCACAAAGTAATATTTGATATCAGCATTTTAAAGTACTCCCGACATATGTGGTTTAAAATTCCACAGAGCAGATCAATATGTTTAGTATCAGGGATGTTCTGGTGACACAACTATACGTTCCTGGGGCCCTCCAAAGGTTCAAGTTGGTCTCTGGGAGCAATACCTAGCTTGATCTGAGGACATCCCTGCTGCCATCATCATGATGCTGGGACCCACATCCTGTGCACATCTGTGAACACTTAGGAAGTATAATTAACATAAATCCTAGGACTGGAAGAGATCAGGGGACAAGTGAAGGCTCTGGACACTTTAGATCAGAGGTCAGCAAAGTTGGTCTATAAAAGGCAAGACAGTAAACAGTTAGGCTTGATGGGCCATATGGTCTCTGTGTACCAGGAAAGTGCCCAGAGGCAATGTGCAACGGTCACTGCTGTGTGCCAGTAACACCTCATTTACAAAACCAGGCAGTGGTCTGGGCAGTCTGCTGACCCTGCTTTAATCGAAGAAGTGAAGACCAACGGAGTTTTCATAGGGATGGAGAAGTAAAAACAGGCACATATAGCAGAGTCAGGAGCTTCAAGTGTCTGCTGCAGTCTCATCCAGCAAGCAGAGCCATCAGCCTTCTGGCTAAAGATGACAAAGAAAAGGCACACTTTTTTTTTTTTTTTTCCTTTTTTCTTCTTTTTCTCGAGACAGTGCCTCAAGCTGTCCCCCTGGGCAGAGTGCCGTGGCATCACAGCTCACAGCAACCTCCAACTCCTGGGCTCAAGCGAGTCTCCTGCCTCCGCCTCCCAAGTAGCTGGGACCACAGGCGCCCGCCACAACGCCCGGCCATCTTTTGGTTGCAGCCGTCACTGTTGTTTGGCGGGTTCGGGCTGGGGATCCGAACCCGCCACCTTAGGTGTACGTGGCCGGCGCCCTAGCCGGTTGAGCCACAGGCGCCGAGCCGAAAAGGCACACTTTTGCAATCTTCTGAAATGCACTGAAAACAACACTCAGGAAAAGCCACACCTGATTTCCACAGAGCATGAGGCACAGATGTCAACTACATGAAACTTCCAACCGAAGCAGGGAAGCCTCAGAGTGCATACACAAACCTCTACTGATGAGGGCAGGAAGGGCTGCCCTGAGCATGTAGTGGTGTTGAGAAGCTAAGCCAAGAGGGAGACTTCTGGACAGTGGGGACTGTCCCAGAGATCTGGGGCAGGAGCCATCCCAGCATTTGCCAAGGTTTAGAGAAGGAATGGAGGCAGGTCCTGCCACAGAGGGTCAGGGAATGAAAGGGTGGACTGGACAGCCTTCCCCCTTGACACAAACAAACAAGAGCCAAACCAACCAACAAGCAGCTCTGGGCCCTGCCTGCCCCTGTGCATCCTCTGCTGACCTGCAGGCTCCACCTGAAGAGAAGTGATTGTGAAGTACCTGCTGAGAGACCTGCAGGGATCACATGGGGTGAGGCCCTGAGCAACAGCTAATGACAGGCCCTCAAAGGGGTCAAAGGACAGACACAAGACCTCCAAGCAGGATTACATGAATATAGAGGAGCAAAGAGGCTTCTGAGAGGCTGCAAGGCCCACCCAGGGAACTCGAAAAAGCAGAGAACTCTGCTGTGCTGTCCAGAGCACAAGGACTGGGCTCATGCAAGCAGCCACAGGCCTCCCCGATGATGTCCTCCTGAGAGGCTCTGGTCCCATCTTACCCTTTAAATATTCTCTGATCCGCTCCTTCAGTTCCACAGATTTATTTTTGCTTCTTTCACAAATTACCTATTGGAAAAAAAGTGTCTAAATCTTACTTTATTGCAACATTTCCTTATCATTACAAGATTTTACAGAGCAAGTTTTATAGTCAACAGAATACGATAGTACCTTAGCTAAAGTTAATAAAGCTCACACTCAGAATACATGTGCTGAAGAGAACATCTGTCTCCTAAGATATTCACATAAAAGCCTAAGGGGACAGGACAGGAGAGCAAGCTCTGAGACTAGGGGTAAATTTATTTTCTTTCTCTGTGTTACTCTACATTTTATAATTTTCTGGAAGGAAAGAAAAACTTAAAAGTGCACTATCGGGTGAGAGCAGATACATGTGGACTAGCTCATGATTTTCTCAGCTGCCTGAGTTATCACTGTCAGGGATCTGTTCTTACACAGACTTGCTAGTACCATGCAGGGTCTGAGGTAGAGCTCCTATCTAACATGTGACACAAAGGTTATATTTTTGCAGCTATTGGAATTTTCTCAGCCCCTAGAGAACTGTAGCTATAAGACCACTTTTGCTAGAAACAACATAAAACCAAAACCTTCAAATAAGAGGAGAGAAAGCAAGTAGCCTGTTAGTGCAGCTCTTTCTTTTCCAGTCTACAACTGGTTGTGAGTTGAAGTGCTTTAAAAATGCCATCAGTTTTAAAGTAGTAATATAAAGTATTACCAAGTGGTATTTTATAATAAAAAATACCTATAATAACTCATACCTATGCAAATTAACAGTAATTTCTCAATTGTAGAATTTTCTGGTGAATTTTATTCTTTATTTTAAACTTTCTACAGAAAGTGGGCATTACTTATGTAATAACAGCAATTACAAGGTGGGTGTGCTATGGGTGCTGGGCCATAGGTTTTATTTCTAAAGAAGGGTCCTGGCTCGGCGCCTGTGGCTCAAGCGGCTAAGGCGCCAGCCACATACACCTAAGGTGGCAGGTTCGAATCCCCAGCCCGGGCCCGCCAGGCAACAATGATGGCTGCAACCAAAAAACGGCCAGGCATTGTGGCGGGCGCCTGTAGTCCCAGCTACTTGGGAGGCTGAGGCAGGAGACTTGCTTGAGTCCAGGAGTTGGAGGTTGCTGTGAGCTTGATGCCATGGCACTCTGCCCAGGGGGATAGCTTGAGGCTCCATCTCAAAAAAAAAAAAAAAAAAAAAGAAGGGTCCTTACAGGTTTTGTTTCTTTTTTCTTTCTTTCTTTTTTTTTTTTTGAGACAGAGCCTCAAGCTGTCACCCTGGATAGAGTGCCGTGGCATCACAGCTCACAGCAACTTCCAAATCCTGGGCTCAAGCGTATCTCCTGCTTCTGCCTTCCAAGTAGGTGGGACTACAGGCGCCAACCACAACGCCCAGCTATTTTTTGGGCGTTGTTTGGCGGGCAGGGTTGGATTCGAAGCTGCCAGCTTAGATGTATGTGGCTGGCGCCTTAGCTGCTTGAGCCACAGGCGCGGAGCCTTTTTTTTGTTTTTTGAGACAGAGTCTCATTATGTCACCCTTGGTAGAGTGCTGTGGCATCACAATTCACAGCGATCTCAAACTTCTGGGCTTAAGGGATTCTATTGCCTCAGCCTCCCAGTAGCTGGGACTACAGGCACCCGCCACAACACCCAGCTATTTTTTGTTGCATTTGTCATTGTTGTTTGGCTGGCCTGGGCTAGGTTCGAACCCACCAGACTCAGTGTACGTGGCTGGCGCTGTAACCACTGTGCTACGGGTGCTGGGCCACAGGTTTTATTTCTAAAGGGGTGTTAGGTCCACATCAGCTAACTGCTCATAGTACAAATCAAACAAGTCTTTCAATTTGGAAGAGACCCCACTCCCTCTTCCATTTCCCAAGCACAGAATGTGCCTCCACCTTCTCTAAGGTGCAGTTTACTCCTAAGGATCATGCAGAGGCCTCAAAATGCTTGTCTGGGTCAGATGAAAACACACATGTGGGGCCTAGCACATCACCTGGTGCATACTGAGCTGAAAGTATGTTAGCTGCTTTTGGTATCATCACCATCATCACCTCCATTCTCTCTGACCCTGGTCACCTGATGTGGTCAGGCCAGGACTTAATAAAGACTATGTGCTGTTTAGAACAACTGATTGCTAATTTTAGAAAAATAAAATCAGTAAATAGGGTCATTGGTACTAACATTATCAAAAGAAAAAAGAAAAAAAAAAAAGCCTGAGTCAGTTCATTCCCTCCTGGCCCTGTAGATGCATTACCTTTGTGGAGAGCACACTGCTTAGCAGTCAGATGCTGAAGTGGCCAAGAGGTGCACACAGAGCAAACAGAGCACTTACGACTGGAGCTGTGACCACAGACTGTAAATTTATATAATCTCATTTCTAACTTTACAAAGTAACTGCATTTTAATAAGTACTCACGTCTTCGGGTGTTTTATGATATTTATTCTTTGGGTTTTTTACAATTAAATGGTGTGAAGAAAGCACGTTGACCACATCTGCATTCCCGAACTTACAAGCAAAATGCAATGGAGTATCATAACCCTAAAAAAGATATAGAAGAAGTACAATTATTTACACTTCTTTGTCTCATAAGATTACTCTAAGGTGAGCATAAGTATGTATGTATATATGTACGTATGAAACAGAGTATTGCTCTGTCACCCCAGGTAGAGCAGCCTCAAACTCCTGGGCTTATGTGATCCTCCTGCTTTGGCCTTTCTAGTAGCTAGTACTACAGGTGCCAGCCACAAAATATGGCTATTTTTCTATTTTTAGTAGAGACCAGGTTTCACTCTTCCCCAGGCTGGTCTTGAACTCTTGAGCTCAAGTGATCCTCCTGCCTTGGATTCCCAGAATGCTAGGATTATAGGCGTGAGCCACTGAACTTGGCTGAAATGAGGTGTTTTAATCAAAATTTTATCAATTTCTACTTTTAGTGATAATGATAAGGGAAAGTGACCTGCATCATCTAATTTCAATAATGTAGTAAGTTTTCTTTCTGGACATGTGTATATACTGCACAGATATTAAAAAAAAAGCAGCTGCCAGGCTACTTTTTAGTGGCTCACGCCTGTAATCCCAGCACTTGGGAAGCTGAGGTGGGTAGATTCACAGGTTAGAGTCCAGCCTGAACCAGAGTGAGATCCCCATCTCTAAAAAATAGCTGGACATTGTGGTGGGCACCTGTAGTCCCAGCTCCTTGGGAGGCTGAGGCAAGAGGATCATTTGAACCCAAGAGTTTGAGGTTGCTGTGAGCTAAGACGCCATGGCACTCTCCCAAGGGTGACCAAGTAAGCCTCTGTCTCAAAAAAAAAAAGAAAAGAAAAGAAAAGAAAAGAAAAAAGTAGCTGGACACACACCTATAACCCTTCAAGGTAGCTGGGCACGGTGGCTCACACCTGTAATCCCGGAGGCTAAGGCAGTAGGATGCCCACAGCCCAAATCTGAGGTTGCAGTGAGCTATGATGCCACTGCACTCTGCTCAGAGCATAGGGTAGAACTCTGTCTCACCAAAAAAAGTTCTCCAACATAGGAGGATTTCTTAAAGCTACCAATTTGAGACCAGCCTGAGCAATATAGTGAGACCCATGTCCACAAAAAATAAAAAAAGCAGCCAAGCATGGTGGCATATGCCTATAGTCCCAGTTACTTGGAGGCTGAGGCAGGAGGATCCCTTGAGCCCAGGAATTTGAGACTGCTGTGAACTATTACTGTGCCACTGCACTCTAGCCTAGGAGACATGGGGGACAGAGTGAGAACCTGTCTCCAAAAAAACCCAAAAATAAACTCCGCCCAAAACACATATTTTCTGTAGGGCACAGAGTGCTGTATTATATCCACAAAGTCACACTTGCTGATTGTACAATCAAATCTAATATCCTTATTCAATTTGTTCATACGTAATCTAACTTTGATATTATTCTTTCTTATTTTATTCATACTATTTGTTGTAACCATTGTTTTATCTTTACTTCTGTTTATAGTTTTGCTAGTTTGGCCCAATTTCTCTACATTCCTTTTTCTTGTTAATTTAAAAGTTGTTCTTGTTTGGCTCAGCACCTCAAACAGCTAGGACACCAGCCACATACACCGGAACTGGCAGGTTCAAATCCAGCCCAGGCCTGCCTAACAAAAATGACAACTACAGGGGGTGGCGCCTGTGGCTCAGTGAGTAGGGCACTGGCCTCATATGCCAAGGGTGGTGGGTTCAAACCCAGCCCCGGCCAAACTGAAA